AGATATACCAATAAAATAGATAAATTTCTTCCGAGACTGATTAAGGAAAAATGAGGAGAGAATAAAACTATATAAGATTAGGAATTTTCAAAGGAGATATAAACACAGATACAGAAGAGATTTTAAAAACTATAAAATCTATAACCACAAATTTGAAACCCTAGGACAAGTAGATAATTTGAAAAAAGAATTGGATAATTTCCTAGCAAAATATAAATGAATCTGGGAACAAGTGGCAAACCCAAATACACCAATTACAATAGACCAGATTGGAAAGGTGATTAAAGGCCTATCATTAAGAAAGCACCAGGACCAAGTGATTTCATAACTTATTTCAGCTAACCTAAGAACAGTAATCCCAGTATTATTTAAATTATTCCAGAATGAATGAAAAGGGAAACTTCCTAATACATTTCATGAACCAGCAGAACTTTTAACACCAAAACCTGATACAGTAACAACCCTCCCCCCCCAAAAAAAGGAAACCATAATCTCACGTATAAGTACAGATGCAAAATTTCTAAATGAAACATTGGGAAGCAGTATTCAGCAATGACTCAAGAGAATAACACACTGTGACCAACTAGAGCTTAATTCAAGGAATTCAAGAGTGAAATTCAATGTAATGAAGTTTATTTACCAAAAATCAACAGCAAACATCATTCTTCATCATCATGGTGAAAAAATAAAGCCATTTCAAATAAAATCAGAAACCAGACAGGAATGTTTGCTATGGCTATTACTATTCAACATTGCTGTGAGGAGGTCTAGCAAATGAAATAAACACTGGATAAAAGAGACACTATTTTGGCTAACTACAGAATTGTATACTTAGGAAATCTAATAGACTATAGTTTACAAAAAAAACAACAATCAAATCTAGTACAATGAGAATATTTGATAAGGTAACTCTATAAGATAAATATACTAACATCATTAGGCTTTCCTTATTCTAGCATAAATACCCGGAAACAAAAATGGAAAAATATTCCATACATAATTGTGAAAAAAAGCAATAAAATATTGTTACGGAATGAATGTTTGGGTCCTCCCCAAATTTATAGCTTGATACTTCATCTCCAATGTGATGGTATTTGGAGGTGGGGTGTTTGAGAGGTAATTAGGTCATGAGGATAGAACTCTCATGAATGAGATTAGTGTCCTTATAAGAACAGGCCAGAGAGCTAACTAGCTCTCTTTGTGCCATAGGAGAATACAATGAGAAGTCAACAGTCTGCAACCCAGAAGAGGGCCCTCACCAGAACCTGACCATGCTTGCACCCTGATCTTGCACTTCCATCCTCCATAACTCTGAGAATTTCTGTTGTTTATAAACCACCCAGTCTATACGGTGCTTTGTTACTGAAGCCAAACTGACTAAGGCAAATACTTAGGAATAAACTCTGCAAGAAAAGCACAAAACTTAGATGGTGATAACCAGAAAATCACATTGAAGGATAATTTTTAAAATCTGAACAAATGAAAAGATATCCATATTCTTAGATGGAAAGATTTAATAACAATTCTCTTATGTCATAAAAATGTGCAATTAAAAAGCAAGTAAAACATGGGCTCCTAAAAGAGAAAAGAGACATTAGGTAAAAGCTGAGGAAATCTGAACAAACTATGGACTTTACTTAATACCCAGTACATCAATACTGGTTCATTAATTGTAACATATGTATCATACTAATGTAAAATGTTAATGGGGAAAGGGTGAGGAGTATACGGAAACCCTCTGTACTATTGTCACAATTCTTCTGTAACTCTAAAACTGTTTTAAAAAAGAAAGTTTTCTTTTTTAAAAAAACATATTTGTAAGACAATTAGGGAAGTTAAAAAAATATATTATTCCAATTAAATAGATAAAATTATCTTAAAGTTTAGAGAGAAAATAAATGCCCAAGAAAGCAAAAAAGTGAATGAAAAAGAATAATGAAAGAAAATATACTATAAAGCCACTGTAATTAAATCAATATGGAGTATTAGTATAGGAATAGATATATCAATCAGTGGACCAGAACAGAAAAGCCAGAAATAAAATCCAGTTTATATGAGATTTTAATATATTGACAAAAACATATCTCAATTCAATGGGGAAAGAGTGACTATTTAATAAATGGTGCTGGCACAACTCCCTATCCATCTGGTAGGAAATAGTCTCCAATCTCATATTATAAATAAGAAACAAATTCCAGATGGAGTAGATGCCTAATGTAATAAATAAAGCATCAAAAAGTTAGAAGGAAAGCTAGGAAACAACACACAATCTGTTTTTTAACCAGAAAGAAAAGATAGCCATATCTAAGTTCATAAAAATGAAAAACAATTTATGTTGTAAAAGCTACCATAAACAAAACTAATAGGCAAATGATAGATTTGGGGAATACTTGGAAAAGAGATAACAGATAATGAGTTAGTAGTCATCACCAGTATACAAAGTGCTGTTAAAAATTGGCAAGAGGCAAGCAATCCAGTGAGAAAATTGGTAAAGGATGTGAAAAGGGAATCCATGAGAACAAATCCACATAGCATGAAGATGCTCCAACTAACTATCAATTAGAGAAATGCAAACTACAGTAAAAAAAAATAATATCTCACTCTACACCAAATCAGATAAAAGAAAAATGAGAGTGCAACAGTACCAACTGCCAACAGGATGAATAGAAAAAAATGTAATTGTTTACAGCTGTTCTGAAAAGCAGTCAGGCAAATATTTTTAAATTAAAAGTATGCAAGACACTTCAACCAACAAAATCACACTCCTAGAAATCTATCTCATAAAAATAAAATCACCAATAAAATGTTTATTGCATCATTGCTCTTATTGTGGAAAAAAATAAAAAGTAACAAAATGAGTTCCCAGCAATAAGGTAATAAATAATGGTACATCTATACTGTAGAATATTAAGCAGCCATTAGAAAGAATGAATTAGTGTTACACCATTTGACTTGGAGGGATTTTCCTGGATGTATTTTTGAATGATAAAATGAAATGCAGGGACTTCCCTGGTGGTGCAGTGGTTAAGAATCCGTCTGCCAATGCAGGGGACACGGGTTCGAGCCCTGGTCTGGAAGATCCCACATGTTGCAGAGCACCTAAGCCCGCGAGCCACAACTACAGAGCACACATGCCTAGAACCCATGCTCCACAGCAAGAGAAGCCACAGCAATGAGAAGACCACGCACCGCAACAAACAGTAGCCCCCGCCTGCCACAGTGAAAGTGGTCTAGCGAAAGCCTGCTCGCAGCAACGAAGACCCAACACAGCCAAAAATAAATAAATAAATAAATTTATATTAAAAAAATAAAATAAAATAAAAGTGAGATGCAGAGAGGTGCATACACCACAATCCCATTTTTAAAAAGCAAACATTGAACAAAACCCCCAAATATATGTACACCCAAGTGTGTGTGTGTGTGTGTCTTGTGTAAAGGCAAACATGGAGACAAACATGGAAGGAAACACACACCGGTTGCTAACACAGATGACTGGCAGCATGGCAGGGAAGAATGGTGTGCAGGGGTTGGAAAGGAAAAATGGGCAGAATTTATGATATGATTATGTTAAGGAAATTAATCAAAAACTTGCTACAACATGGATTAGGGTATAACATGATTGGCATGAGCGTCCATCCTCCATGTGGTCCCCAATCTCAAACTATATCATAGTCATCTGGCATTTTCTCATCCACTGAACTATTAGTTCTGTATAATGTTGCTCACAGTCCTCTCATTTGTGCATTTTGTGACCATCCTACTGAAAAAGATAAGTTTTCCATTAACTGTTACCCCACATTTTATGAAATTGAATTTTGGACCCCACTCTTCAGGTTGCGGTATGGTTTATGCACAAATGCAAATATGTACCTATACATAAAGAAATTAGAAAAAATAAGGAATTGGTACTTATATATTTCTTGATTGTTGAACATCCATAAAGTAAAAAATACTAGTTACAGAAAAATATGCATGAAGTATTCTATTTCGGTAAAAGCATGCAAAACCCTAATTTTAAACGTACAATTAAGTATTTTTAAGTGAAAAAGAAAGCTTTGGATAGGATTCACAAAGCCACTGGCTCAGGTTACATAAAGGGGAAGGAAGTAGAAAGGAGGGGCCGATTACTAACTTTGCTTTTATACCTCTCTACATTTTATTACTTCACTTATTACAACAAGTAAAAAAGTATTGCTCTTGAAATCTGAAAACATTAAGTAAAGAAAACAAAGATAAATTGCAAATAATAAAGTAAATTGGGTATTAATGAGTAGCTACCTCGTAAGACATGTTGTGAAGATTAAATGAGACAATCCATGTAAAGTGTTTAGCACATTACCTAACATGTTGCAAATGCTCGATAAATAGGAGCAATTTTTATTTAAAAAATAAGACTACAGAGAGCAGTGGCAATTAGGAAGCTGAAAAGATAATGTCTTTGAAAATGACACTGTGTACACAAGGCACTTTTTTCCCTACAACTGAATCTGATCTCCTTTGCACTGCAAGGACTCATATCATGGTAACTATACAGCTCATCAAACACACTTTCATTGACAGTAAAAATAAAATTACAATTAGATAAATAAGATACTTAAACAATACAAAGGAAATGGCAACTTTTTGCCTTGCAGGCTCTTTAAGAACTTCAAGAACCATCCTAAAACACTATGCTTCTGTCACAACCACTTCTGATGAGAAACATTTGACCCTGGATGTTTCCTTCATGTTAGAGGAGACTGAACAGAACACATTTCATACAGATTGGAGAGTGATGCTACTGCTCTTTCTGAGGGCCTGCCCAAGCGGGAAATCCATTCCTAGACGTAGAAATTCCACTCTCAACTCTGAAAATTTCTTTGCTGGTCTGCCTAAAAGCATGTTGGTTTAGTGATAATCTACAAACTAAATTTGGTCCATCAATTCTATTCTTATTGTACAACCAAACATTGAAATAAGTTCATAAGTTGCATGAGTGTGTTATTAGTCTTATTACTTACATGGAATTGACTTTATCTTCGGGGCCTTGCACTTGGCCTGTCACAGTGCCTTTGCTGGTATTCTTCACCCAGCCAACCACCCCTATTTTCCTTGCCTCATCTTCGGTGTACTGGTTTCAGGAGAAAACAAGAGAGACGAAGTCCAACATCAAAGGTCTGAATTTACAACATACTTGATTCTAACATTCAAAAAGGTATGGTCACAAAAAAGCTGATTACTTTAAAATATAGTCTATGCCAAAGATTGTGTAGTTGACCCATAGTAATACCTATATTTACAAAAACTTTCGTTTAAATGGTATTTTTTGTGTGTGTGCTAAATTCCACATTCAGTAAAGACAAGCACGTTATGAGAAAATAAACTGATGGTGGGAATTATTTCAGAAAACAATTTCCATGATGTGTTTTGGAATCCATAAAGCTCAGTTGCATTGCCCTCACAACCGGCTAATGCTAAATTACACTGTCAATCTGGGTTTCAAATGATGATCACTCCAAGATTCTTAATCACTGAGCAAAAATATCCAGTTATTATCAACATAAAGAATTGGATTAAAAGATTCCAGTGTTCTCTGTTGACTCTGGACTTGCCACGCAATTGTTATAATTGCCTATGAGTAAATTTATTTCTCCTATTATTCGTAATAGTTTTTTAAAATTCCTTTTCCTGATTCCAAATTCAATTATGCTACCAGCACATGCAAACCTAGAAACATTTTTATTTTGCATTACTTTAACTACATCACACTAAAATTCTTGTGGAGCCAGAATACCAGCATTTTTTAGAAACATGCTCTTCTCCTGTTTGGAGCCCAGGGTGACCAAGAGCTCTACACTCCACGTCCCCAACTAAATGAAGCAGTGCAAACCAAGATGATTACAGCTAGGATTGCTGGAAGGGCTGGGTTCTGAAAATGTCACGCCTTCACAGATAGCAAGGAAAAAGGAGACAATCTGAACTCCAGGGGATGCGACTATCTCAAAAGGCAGAGACTTGACTTGTGGGAACCTGTTAGAACCCTTAGAGGTTAGGAACAGAGACCTAGCTAGTGATTCCCAGCTCAAACAGTAGGTGAGAATACATGCCACGTTTAACTTTAAGAAAGGAGTACTATATTTTAAAAATCGATATTTTAAAAGTATTTTAAAATAAATATTTTAAAATAAATATCTAAAAGGCAGCAAGGGGTTTTAACTTTAAAAACCTAGGAACCACTTCCTTGTGCAACAATGGGCTTTTCTCATTTTGCAATTCAAGATATGTACCGTTGACTGGAGAGATTCTTCCATCCAGAACAAGTGGAAGACCCCCATACTGTGTATTAAATATACCTAATCAAAATGTTCAATTGGATCACCCCAAGAGAGGTACTTTCGAAATTCATAGAAATATTAACGGAAAACTAGGAAGGCTGTAATGTTTTTAATAGGCTACTTTTAAAAGACATCCTTAATAAAAATCTCAACCAGTAACTTGAAAGAAATACAAATATTTCTTCATTCACTGTCAAGGACAGGAAATTAGCAATAGATTAGCACTAAGTAGATAACTGCTCTGTCTCTGTGACTAAATAACAGTGGGGGTGGGAGGGAGATGGCAAAAAATAATAAACAGATTGGTGACTTACCATCCTGAAGCAAACACCTGTATAAGAGAAAGATGAAAAGAAATGTCAGGTTGTCTACCTTTAAAAAAAAGTATATATTTCCTGACTTAGCTTTCATCTAGTTTATTAAATAGTAAGTAAATGAAATGAACAAAACCTTTAATATCTGAATGCATTCAGAAAGTGTTTTTTAAAAATTCTTTTCTTTTAAAACAAAAAGAGAAAAAGGAAGGTTATTTTTGAAGAAAAAGAATAATATTCTGAAACCAAAGTATAATGAAACGCCAAACTGCATATTCCTTCTATTTTAAAATGCTAAATAAAACAAAATAATTACTACAAGAACAGTTGAGTGTGCTGGCATAAAACTTACCCACCCTCAGCTTTTAGAATGTCTTCTTTAGGGGCTTCCCTGGTGGCACAGTGATTAAGAATCCACCTGCCAATGCAGGGGACACGGGTTCAAGCCCTGATCTGGAAAGATCCCACTTGCCACGGAGCAACTAAGCCCGTACACCACAACTACTGAGCCTGCACTCTAGAGCCCGTGAGCCACAACTACTGAAGCCCGCGTGCCACAACTACTGAAGCCCATGTGCCTACAGCCCGTGCTCCGCAACAAGAGAAGCCATGGCAATGAGAAGCCCTCACACTGCAACGAAGAGTAGCCCCCGCTCGCCGCAACTAGAGAAAGCCCATGTGCAGCAACGAAGACCAAACGCAGCCAAAAATAAATAAATTAAATAAATAAATAGAATGTCTTCTTTAAATACAAGGACTAAATTCAAGTTTAAATGTAATAACACATTACTATTTTAATTCCACTTTCTGGAAAAGGCAAAACTACAGGGACAGGAAACTGATCTGTGATTGCCAAGGGCGGGAGTGGGAAGCAGTGGGGCGCCGAAAAGGAGCACGAGGGAAATTTTTGGGGTGATTGGACTGTTTTATGTCTCAGTTGTGCTGGTAGTGGTGGTGGTTACATGACTGTATGCATTTATCAAAACTCATTGAACTGTATACTAAAAAGGGTGAATGTTACTGAATGTAAATTATACCTCAATTTTTAAAAATTAGAAAAAAAATAGGCAAATCACAGGGGATAGATCAAATCAATCTCAGAGAGGTCAAAAGATATTGCTTCTCCAAACAGCAATTGAGCCTGATTAAGAGGATACAGAAGACAAGATCCGTGGCTTGGGTAATTTTATGTAGTTTTGTAAGCAGATTTGTAATAACAAGGAGTATCATTTGTTTCCTGAGGGTAGTGTATTGTGGTACCAAATGAATACGCAGAAAAAAATAGTGGAGCAAAAAAGACAGGATAGTATCACAAGTGAAATTCTTATGGGCCTATAAAAAATATTTTAAAAGATACCTATCGGGCTTCCCTGGTGGCGCAGTGGTTGAGAGTCCGCCTGCCGATTCGTGTCCCGGTCCGGGAAGATCCCACATGCCGCAGAGCGGCTGGGCCCGTGAGCCAAGGCCACTGAGCCTGCGCGTCCGGAGCCTGTGCTCCGCAACAGGAGAGGCCACAACAGTGAGAGGCCCGCATACCAGAAAAAAAAAAAAAGATACCTATCAATGTGAGGGAAGGATGAGTGGGGAGTATTGATCTGAAGAAGAACCAGAAAGGTAATCTGTTATATAGATGGAGGGAAAGACATGAGTCAGTAGATATAAAAGGAATGGGCAGAAAATTCAAGAGAAACTTCAGGTTAACCAGACCATGTAGAAGAGACAAAACAGGCAGAACTGTGGATAAGTGTGCAGTCATTTTTTCCTGGAGTGAGGGGATCCCAGAAGACACTGACTAAGCAGAGTTGAAGGTTTGGGTCCAGGCCTATTGTGCATATTCCCCTCTGAGTTTCTCAACAGTGAACAGCCCCAAATGATGTTAGCAATAAGAAAAGAAAGCACATGCAACTGAAGTAAACAGAAATTGGAAACATATAGTCCAGCTCTTTCCTATTCAGACCGGTCCATGAACCAGAGGCACCAGCATCACCTGAGAGGTTTTTAGAAAATCAAATTGTCAAGCTCCTCCCCAGCACTAAAGAATCAGAAACTCTGCAGGTTGCATCTTGGAATCCAATTTTAACACGCTCTCCAGGTGATTTTTATGCCCGCTAAAGTTTAGAATCAATGGTTGGCTCCACCTTAAAGGAAGGTCTGGGAAAGGTTTGAAAAGGATTTATATTTCAGGTGAAGAATTGCATCACAAAGGGGAAAACTCCAATCTTGTAGGGTACTGCAGGTCTGATGCGTTTCTCATTCATGCTGTTCAAATTCGTGTTGGTAATAAATCATGTACTTGCATGTCAATATTGCCTCAGCTATTTTACAAGTCAACAGCGCTACTTGAAAGAAACCATGGACAATGAAAAGACAAAAAACCCTGTCCTGCACTCTAACTGGATTTGGTGCTGGAGCAGAGCAGGCAGCCTGTCACTTAGGTTGCTCCCTCCACCCTTACTACTTACTGCCAGAAACACCGGAGCTGCCAGAAAGGGAGGTTAACAACAAGCTGCCCACTCCACCCTACTCCACCCCACTCCACCCCCGGTGAAGAGCAACATCCTTTCAACATTTATGAATTCCCAGCAGCCCTTCCACCATCTATTTACTGATGACAAAAAGGCTATTTGCTTAAGGTGACAGGATTTGAGGAATTTTTAAAAGAGTTATCCAACACATTGCAGGGTTAAGGAAATTACCTACTGCAGTCTGCTAATGAAATGTTCTTTTCACACAGACATAATCTAAGAATCAGGTAACTCACATATATATATATATATATATATATATATATATATTTTTTTTTTTTTTAAATTTTTTATTTTTTTGTGGTAGGCGGGCCTCTCACTGCTGTGGCCTCTCCCGATGCGGAGCACAGGCTCTGGACGCGCAGGCTCAGCGGCCATGGCTCATGGGCCCAGCCGCTCCATGGCATGTGCTATCTTCCCGGACCGGGGCACGAACCTGTGTGCCCTGCATCGGTAGGCGGACTCTCAATCACTGCACCAACAGGGAAGCCCCACAATTCATATATTTAATAAGCACACTAGGGACTTCCCTGGTGGTGCAGTGGATAAGACTCTGCGTTCAATCCCTGGTCAGTGAACTAGGTCCCACATGCATGCGGCAACTAAGAGTTCGCATGCCACAACTAAGGAGCCCACATGCTGCAACTAAGGCCTGGTGCAACCAAATATATAAATAAATATTTTTAAAAAAAATAAGCACACTTTCAGACATTGTGATTATTCACTTAACAAATATTCATTGTCTAATTCTGCAGAGAATGAGATGAGTAAATAAGACAGTCCTGCCATCTAGGAGCTTACAGTATAGTGTGGAAGATAGACAAGTAAAATGGCAATTAAAATGTAGAAGACAACAGGTACAAACTTCCAGTTATAAGATCAATAAGTACTAGGGATGTGATGTGCAACATGATAAATAAAATTAACTTATGCTTATGTTACATATGAAAGTTGTGAAGAGAGTAACTCATAAGAGTTCTCATCACAAGGAAAAATATTTATTCCTTTTTCTTTTATTTTGTATCTATATGAGATGATTGATAGTCACTAAACTTATTGTGATAATCATTTCATGATGTAAGTCAAATCATGCTGTACACCTTAAACTTATATAGTACTGTATGGCAATTATATCTCAATAAAACTGGGGAAAAAAGAACAAAGAATAATAAATAAAACTTTAAAAATAAATAAAACATAGAACAATTATGAGCTGAAAGATGTATAAACCAGGATGCAAGTGGGAGTTCACAGGACAAACAAATGACCCACCCAGTCTTGGGTAATTTTAGGGCAGGCTTATTGAAAACGGGACATTGATACTTCAATGATGAGCAAAAATTAGTATGATGAGAATGGAATAACATTGAAGATGGAAGAGCATGTGCAAAGTCCCCAAATCAGGATCATGACCTACTTGGATCCCACGCATGGTTAAATATTCAAAACCATGTCACTGCACCCATTTTACCAATTATTTCTAGCCCCAAACTTCATTTTCAAGACTTGCTAAAAAATAGTTTAATTCTATTTCAACTGTTTCTAGAAAAATGGGTAAAAATGTTTTTACACCCTAGTCCAAGTTATCATAATCTCTCAACTAATCCACAGCAGTGGCCCCCTTCACTAGTCTCCCTATGTCTAGTTCTGCCCTCCTACAGTCTAGTCTCCATAAAGCAGCCAAGGTGGTTTTCTTTCCTTAAGTAAAATCAAATCACTTCCTTTCCCAGCTTAAAACCCTCTGGTGGCTCCCTATCACACTCAAAATAAAATACATTCTGGTTACCACAGCCTCCAGGCCCCTTTCTAATGCTCTGTCTCATCTCTTAGGACTCCTGTCTGCTCATTCCATTCCAGCCAAATTTTTCTCCTTTGTGTCCCTCAACATGCCAAGGATATTCCTGCCTCATGGCCTTTGCATTTACTATTCCCTCTGTCTGAACTGCTCTTCCCCCTGATCTTCTCATTGCTGGCTCCTTCTCATCATTCATGTCTCTGCACCAATGTCATCTCCATAGAGAAATAGTCCCTGACCAATTTATCTAAAACAGCACTGCATCCTTATATGTTTCCTGGATATGCATAACCGATTACCATATGATATTACTAGGTATTTATTTGTGGGGTTTTTTTTTCTGTCTTGTTCAACACTGTGTCCCCAGCACCTAGACCAGAGCTTGGCACACAGTTGTTGAATAAATAAGTGAAAGAAAAACCAGCTGATAAGTATTTAAGTGAACTGTTTTACTGTCCTGTAGTAATTCATTATTAACATTGTAAATATACATGCAACCATACTGATTAGAGTTTAAGTTTAATTTCAAAGTGATGATGATAAATTTACTGCACTCAAAGCTGGAAAGAATCATAAGACTTCTGTGTTGATTCTAGCAGAACTTTACTGCTTTATCTAAATGATAATATATAGTTTGATGTGTGTGTGTGTGTGTTTATATATAATATACTATATACTAAAAAGGGTAGCAAGAAGT